CCATACCGAGAATGAGGTCAAAGTCCCTCATCTCGAGAACATAAGCGTCGGTAGACAAGATACGACCACCGATAGAAAGGCTGAGATCGGTAGCTTTGGCATCAGTCACTATCTTTCGTCCCGAGGCTAAACTCACCTCGAGAGGATTGACAGCGGTAATAGAATGTACTCCAATGGCATCAAGACATCGTCGCGATATAAAAGAGTGAGTTGCTCCAGTATCAAATAAAGCGAAGACAGGAACATCGTTAAGCATAATCATCCCAGACATAGTACCTGGGTGTTGCTCCGCCTCGGTTTGGTCTACCGCATAAACACGAGCCTGCTGTCTGCCCCTCTGCTACTGCTGGGGTGGCCTCGGGACCTGTTGTGGCTGTTGCGGTGGTTGTTGTCGTGGCTGCGGCCGCTCTGGGCAGTTTTTGACAAAATGTTCGGGCTGATGGCAATAATAACAAATGTCCTGGCTGAAATGACACTCTCCACAATGGGGTCGTCCGCAAGTAGTGCACGGTGGAATCTGCTGTGGCCTGGCTGCACCTAGTTGTTTTGGACGGATCCTCCTGTCAGTCTGGAAGCCTTTCCCTTTCCTCTTCTTGTCCTTCGGTTGTTGGGTAGCAGCTGGTTGAATGGGTGGTGCTGGGAATGATTGGGCAGGGGCAACTGGCTGAAGACGATCGTGGTTGGCCTCCCTCCGGATGCTGGCGTCAACTTCTTGGGCTATGGTGACGGTACGGGCATAGGCTTACCAGATCGGGAACAAAGGCTCCAAGTCGAGTGAATTCTCGCTCATACTCGTCTACTGTATGAGTACCTTATTTGAGTGCCAAAAATTGACGATCCATTTCAGCTTGATAGTACGCAAGATTAAATTTCTCGCGAATTAACTCCTTGAACCTGTCACACGTATAACCTTCCTTTTCACCGGGACACATTCCCCAGTAGGCGTTCCACCAGAGACATGCGTCACCCGTCAATTGGATCTGGGTGCATAAAACACGATAGCGGTCGGGATAGTCCATGACCTCGAAAATCATTTCAAGGCCCTGAACCCATTCGTCAACAATTCAAGGGTCTCTCTGGCCGGAGAATTTTTCCAGATGGTAGTCGCGGAACTGAGCGACTACAGTGGCCTGGGGGACCTCCAGATGATCTGGCTCCCTACGTGGCGGCATCTGAATATTGAAACTGTTCAACATGATCAGATACAGGGAAATACTTTAGCTGATTAATAAAGCGCACAAATCTCTTGACGAGTTGCTAAACATGACCTCGGAATTATTGACATTAAATCATGGATATACAGAACCATAATTCCTGAACATGACTCGAGCATCCTAACTAGTTCGTAACTGTAGATTTTACTGAGCATAGACATAGTAATTTGTTTATAACTTAAAACATGAATCAGCACTTACCTGTAGTCGGCGGGGCGTGAGCGTGACGTGTTCAGGTTTTATAAAAATTTCTGGCTCGTAAAAATTTTCAGAGACGCAGAAACGTGCTATGATACCAACTATAACACCCCATTATGTCCTAAATATCAGAGTTAAATTTTCGCAAATTCTTTTATTAGAAATATTTATTACGTTGCGAAATCGTGATTCGGAGTGCTACCATAACTGTAACTTTACCTTGAAATCAGTTAATTTTAATTTTTAAAGAAAACCGGTTGATCATAATATAAACAATCCGACTGGTAATCGGACCAAAAGGCTAAGTTTGACAAACATGAAAAGTCAGCGGAAGTCGTAGTGTGGCAAAACATGTAATTTAAGCTACGGGAGTAGTAACAGCACTGCTATGTCAAATTCAAACATATAAACAAAATCCTGAACCGCTCGTCAGCTCACTCCTCCGGTCCGACTCTGTGACCTGAAAAACATAGATAAACATGGGGCGTGAGCACTAAATCCACTGTGCTCCGTAAGAACTCATACTAAAGTAAACAGTGAAAATAATTGCAATATCATGATCCTGGTATATACATATAAACATAGCATGATACCGGTAACCATTGCCATAAGATGACCGTTGCCTCATAACCGTTGCCTCATCTGCTAGCATGAAAATACTGGACACCATGTGCACACTCTAGTGGACAGACTAGGCCACTAGAACCCAGAATGGACCGGCGACCATTCCAAGCGGATACATAACATAACATGACATAATACATACCTCAAACATGGTAGAGTAATTATAATCAATGTAATACCCAGTCTGAGTCCCAACCTAAATCGTCGATATGAAACTGGAAGTGCTGATAATCGTGAACTGTTCAAACTGTAACATAATATAAACAAATACTAAGTAATATGCTCAGACTGATTAAAATAGCTGTTTAATATGTTAAGATGCTCGACTTGAACTTGACATGACATCTAGACTTAACCGGTATAACCGGAACCGGTTTAAAATGGAACTGGACTGACATGAATTTACTGAACTTGACCGGACCTGAAATTTAGCTAAAATCTTGACATAAACATGAACCGGATCATTAAAAATTAAACCATGAATTAAACCGGTCTGAACCGGCCGGTCTGCATCTGGCTGGACCGTCGGCCTGCTGTGGTCGGGCGGTCGGCCGCTGGCTCGGCCAACTGGCTCGGTTCCGCGTTGGGCCTGCTAGGCCTCGGGCGCGGTCGCTAGCCTGGACTGGCTCGGCCTAGGCACGGTTGGGCCTTGCTAATTGTGCACGGGCACGGACTGGTATGGGCATGGGCGTCCGTGCACGCTGGCGTGCCACTGGGCACGGCTGGCGTGGCATGAACATTGCTGGACTCAACAGGCGCTAGCCTGGGCCGACTTGCCATGATCTCGGGTGCTGGCGTGCGACTGGTGCAACGCGCGTACTGGAAAGGGCCATCGGGTGCTTGCTGGGCACAACCGACGATCGACTGGACGCATGACATGGTGACTGGCGCTGCCTGGTGCTGTGGGCGCTGGAACTTACGCGACTGGGCACTGTCGGGCGCTACCGGGCGCCACCACAGGCAACTGAGCATGTGAACGCGCGGACTGGCGCTGGCTGACATGAACTGGTACCGCACGGGCACTGCCGGGCGACCCTGATGGTACTGGACGCTCAGGCGTGCTGTCGGGCACTGCCCAAGGTCGACCGGCGTGAAGCTAAACACACTGTCATGCGCGGGGACGTGTTGTCGTGCACTAGGTACTGGCCGACTGTCAACGGGCGTGGGCAGAGACTACTAGTGACACCCGACTGGGCTTATGTGCATCACCCGCCCGACTCTGACGGACTGCCGGTACGCTGAGGCTGCTGCGTGCAGACAGCGTGACTACGACCGGCCTGTTGTCGGCCGTCCGGCGACCTTCTCCGACCATATGACATGAATTAACATGATTTAACATAACATGAATTATTACATGTAAATCGGTCGAATGACCATGAACATAACTCGATGAAACGCGAACGGTCGTGGCGTGCGCACCGTGCGCCGTCCACGACTTCAAGCAATCACTTCGAGTGTTTAACCATTTTTCCCAACAAATAATACATTACTGAACATAATATGTCTAATAATGACTAATGGAACGTAATTCGCTCGAGAGTTGCCGAATAAAAATGGACATAGCTCAAGACGACGTTACATAAAATGCTCGTGCAATAACTTGGCTTCTAATGGACCAACCCTTATACTATGGATAGATTTTACATAAAATAGGTACATGAACGTTAAAGAAGATCAAGACGTGATTACCTCCTCAGTCGTTCGAATAAAAATCCTAAGACTTGCGATCGTTCGGTAGCCGTACGGTAGCGTGCGTTCTTTCTCTTTATTGTACTTGGTAATGGTTAATGTAAGCTAATCTCTCACTTATCACTTGTTTGTTGCATGGCAGTTCTCTCAGTAAAGTCCATATAAATAACGGAAGTAAATTGGAGTGAAAATGATATGGTAAGCTATGGCCAATAAGCTTGCTCCACTTGCCATAAGCTTAGGGCCTTAGGTGGCTTTTATGAGCTAGGTGGCATTCTTGGACTAGCTTAGTCATCCCTCACAAACTCTATTATGCCGCCACATATCAAGTGAAATGATGAATTGAAGATGCAAATTGCACCACAATTCTCGGTCATATTTACCATGATTTAAGCTTAAGACGACCAATTAGGCTAATTGGCATAAAATGTGTGACTTTAAAACTTGATACTTAGAAAATATTCTAAGTATAAACATGAACTTGAACCTTACCCAAATTTAAATAATTTTGGTCGAAACTTGACTTCGAAAATTAATTCGAATATTTTTAACTTTAAATAATTAGTCCCGAATGATAATGATCGATAAAATAAATTTTTCGAAACTAAGCATGTAGTTTACATTAATAACATAGTGGGCTATTACAATCTGCCCTCCTTAAAATATTTCCGTCCTCGAAAATACAAAACAGAACATATATACATAGAACATAAGAAAAGATAAACATCAAAACTTGAAATCGGGAAAATGAGAGCGAATATCAGCATCCTGCTCCCAAGTGGCACCGTGGCGATTCCATTGAATACGAACGAGGGGAACATCACGTTTCCGGAGCCGACTAATCTGTCGGTCCAGTACAGCTATCGGTTTCTCTTAAGATAAATCTGGCTGAATATGAATATCGGTATGTTGAAGGACATGATCTGGATCACACACGTACTTGCATAACATGGATACATGGAAAACATTATGAACATTGGACAATTCGGGAGGTAAGGCTAATCAATCAGCAACTTCGCCCACTCGCTCGAGAACTTCGAACAGGCCAATGAATCGAGGGTGTAACTTCCCCCTCTTTCCAAATCGAACGATCCCTCGGAACGGACGAACTCTAAGAAAGGCTCGCTCCCCAATCTTAAACTGGATATCTCGTCTATGTTGATCGGCTGATGACTTCTGTCGACTCTGAGCTGTCTTGAGTCTCTGTCTGATTAAATCGACCTGTTCAGCTGTTTTCTCGATCATCTTCGGACCAAGTACTCGACGCTCACCGACATCGTCCCAATAAAGAGGGGAACGACATTTACGACCGTAAAGTGCTTCGTAAGGAGCCATTTGAATAGAAGCAAGATAATGTTGTAAGCAAACTCGACCAATGGCAATAACGACTCCCACTTAGCACCCCTGTCAACAACCAAAGCTCGAAGCATGTCCTCCAATGTCTGAATGGTCCGCTCGGTCTGTCCGTCAGTCTCTGGATGGTAAGCCAAACTGAACTCTAGTCGCGTGACCATCGCCTTGTGCAAACTCTCCCAGAATCTAATAGGGAATCTGGTATCCCGGTCTGACACGATAGTAACAGGCACTCTGTCAAGTCGAATGATTCCACGGGTATAAATCTCGGCTAACTTGTCCAAAGACATATTCATCGATACTGGTAAAAAATGAGCAACCTTAGTCAATCTATCAACCACGACCCAAATAGCGTCGCGATGTTCAGACGACCTTGGTAACCCCGTGACAAAATCCATCGTGACTTTCTCCCACTTCCACTTCGGAATCTCGAGTGGTTGCAAAAGGCCCAAGGGACTCTTGTGTTCTACTTTGACTTGCTGACAGGTTAAACATTTCCTCACAAAGTCAGCTACGTCCTTCTTCATCCCTCACCACCACAACGAACTTTTCAAGTCGTGATACATCTTTGTGCTCCCTGGATGGGCTAAATAGGGTGTGGTATGAGCTTCGGTCAATATCTCCTTCTGTAATGCCTCGACTTTTGATACAACAATTCTGCCTCGAAATTCCAAGGCTCCATCTGTGCCTCAGTGAAAACCCTCAACGCCTCCGTCGCAAACTTTGGCATCAATAGCACGAACAAGTTCGTCAGAAGTCTGTTCCCGTCAGATCCTTTCCCTCAACGTAGGCTGGACCTGCATAGAACTGACACTCCCCGTGATCGCTGTAGGAAGTGCATCAACAACTTGAATTTGCATCCGGGCGAACTCCTGGATAAGATGGTTCTACTGAGTAACAACATAAGTCAAGTCACCCTTCACCTTGCGGCTTAGGGCATCAGCAACGACATTTGCCTTTCCCGGATGGTATTAAATGGTACAATCATAATCTTTGACCAGCTCAAACCAACGGCGCTGTTGCATGTTGAGCTCCTTTTGAGTAAAAATATACTGTAAGCTCTTGTGTTCAGTGAAAATCTCGCATCGACCGCCGTATAAATAATGTCGCCAAATCTTCAGTGCATGAACTACCGCTGCTAGCTCCAAGTCGTGCGTAGGATAATTATGTTCATGGGGCTTTAATTGTCGTGAAGCATAAGCAACGACCTGGCCATTCTGCATGAGTACACATC